ATTGATTATGAAAAGGCATTTAATGCAGTACATCGTGACAATTTAATTAAAATATCAAGAGATAAAGGAGTTGATAGCGGCGACCTCAGGATCATTGAAAAATTATATTGGCATCAAACAGTGACCTTTCGTATTAATGGGTAGTCGACAGAAAAGTGTAAGATTCTAAAGGGAGTCAGGCAAGGTTGTGTGCTATCCCCACTGTTGTTTTATGTATTTTCAGATAAAATCTTTAAAAATGCTTTGCACAACTTGGAATATGTGTAAAAATTAATGGAAAAACGATAAACACCAACAGATATGCAGATGACGCAGTTATATTGAGCGATGACTTAAATGGTTTGCAATATCTTTTACTCAACAAGTTCACTACAAAATGTTACGAGCGAAAGTCCAAATCAACATAAAAAGAGGAAGGAACATAACGTTTAATAATAAATCTCATGGTACCTGGACACCCCCATTAGATATCAACCAAATATCAGGCATATATCACTAATAAGCTACTACTGCTTGAAACCTCCGGGGGAACGATCTTAACGACTTGAATAATTGCACCATAAATGCCTTACAAGAAAGTCACCGAGTGCACTGTCCCAAAAGAAAATCAGATAGTAAAATAAGTCCATATACTTAAACACTGCTGGATCAAAGACAAATAAGAAGCGACAAGAATGCAGACAGCCATACTCTAAGAGAAATGAATAACACTGTTTCGAAGGCAATCAGAGGAGATTTAAGGGAATTTAAAACCGATAATATTAAACGCGCTATAGATGAAAATAACAGCCTAAAAGTTCTACGAAGAAAGTTAACGAATGGGAAATGCGAAATTCATAGCATTAAGAAAAATAGAAAATATCAAAGTCCCAGGAGAAGATGGAATTGTAATAGATGCTATCGTAAATAGAGGAGATATGCTATTAAATAAATTAAATAATAATAAATTAAGGAAACTGTTTAATCTATATTTGCAGCAAAGAGAGGTACCCAAAAAACAGAACAATGCTATCCTTTTCCATAAAAAAGAGCTAGAACGGACCTAGAAAATTATAGACCTATTAGCCTATTGAACCACATATATACAAGCTCTTCACTAGGTTAGTGACATCAAGATTGGAGAAAAAAAAATGAGATTTCTACCAACCTACAGAGCAGGCAAGATTCCGTTCAAATTATGGTACCAATGATCACCTCCATACAGTAAATACACTCATTGAAAAATCTATAGAATACAACAAACCTCTTGTCCTCACTTTCATATATTTTCATAAAGCGATCGACACGATAGAAATAGACAGTCTTATAGAAGCAATGAATGACAGCATAATTAGCCATAGGTATAATGAACTTATTTACAAAAATGCCACTATGACTGTTAAGATACACGATAAAACCCGACCAATAAAAATGAAATGAGAATAAAGGCAAGGAAATACATTGTCACCGAAATTATTCATAACGGCATTAGAGTATGCCTTTAAGATGATGGTCAATTGGGACCACAGAGAAGTAACAATAGACGGCAAAAAGCTTAAACATTTCCACTTCGCAGATGACATTTATGGAGAAACCACAGATAAACGAATTACAGATAAACCACATAAAGACGAATTACTTTAACGTAATCAGCCAAATAAAAGAGACTGTTTCAAAATTGAATTCGCAAATGAAGAACAGCTTGTAACTATAAATACCTTGTTTGATCGTCCTCTAAGATGATTGGCCTAACTAACAGAACTATAAAATTTTCTAATACACCAAAAATTAAAAAAAAATCAACAATAAAAACCAAAAATCATCTATCATCTTTGCTAGGACAGCAATACAATAAGTGTGTTGACAAGGTAGAGTAAACACAGGTATATTTTTACAGTTTGCCATCGCCAAATTTCCTTCATCCTCAACCACAGCTATTAAGAGATTGTCTTCAAACTTAGCTCTTGTAGATTTCTTATTTCAACAGGTACTTAATTCTCTTAAACATCGTTTACTACCTTTTTCGTTTTGATTATTTAGATTCACCTCCACTTGTTCAGTAAAAATATAACATAATATTATTAAGAATGATCCACCAGTTTCAAAAGTCTTCTTGCGAGTGAATATGAACGTGTCTACAAAAAATCTGGGATTTAGAAAAGGTTTTGGCACTAGAGAGGGATTATTTACTGTACAGTCATAGAACTGTGACATATTCATTTGTCTAGTTGACTTTGAGAAAGCCTTCGACAAAATACAACACAGAAGGCTTGCAAACATTACGGAACACAGTTGGGGAGATAACGCATGTCCTAATTGAAAAATATAAAGCGGTGGAGTGGAAAACAACCATAGAACTCTTTAGAACTACAAAGTCAAATGGGCCGTGACAAACGACAAAGTCCTTAAGAAATGGGGCGTACTAAGAAGACGAATAATTTTATCTATTCTGATCTAAAGGTACCAAAATTTAAATTAAAATATCTGCGTCTTTCAACCACTCCATAGATCCAATCAGCAGCGTTTATTTTGTCCTTATGCCTCATCTGAGGTACAGATACATAAATGTAGTAAGTGCATTACACTTTTTGAAATGCATTACACTTTTTGAAAATACAAACAACGTATATGTGCACCTGTTTGATGAAAAAAAAAACATTGGTTAGAAAATGTTATAAGGCAAAGTTTAAATTATTCTGGAATCATTCAACTGTTAAAAGTATTTCTCATATTAAAGAACTACACCCATAACAGCTTTGTGACCTTTTCCGTTAAAACATGACACTCATTTCATACACTCTATCAAATGCCCATCAAAAAACAATGTTGTAAAAATAACTTTAAAAAAGTTATAGGAGAATAACTTAATGAGCTTTTCTTTCATCAATAGAGTATCCGAAGATACCCGTATATCTCCTTAAAGAGGATAACGTATCCATTTGATCGATCGAGATATAATAGGTTTATCGGGATATAAGTCCTTCCAACGATAAATGAAGTTGTTTATATGCTTCGTAATATCCTTTTTATTTTTTTCGCAGTAGACGTAGTTCTCCTAAGAATTAACTGAGTTTGATATTAACTTTTGTAAATCTGTGTTTTACGAGTTACAGAAAGACTTGCAGGTATGGCATTCGTGTTATTAGGAATTTGTCAGCACTCAGCTTGATATAAAATAAAAGTATTCCGCATTTCAGTAGCTAAAATTTATAAAATAATTATGCGTAATAAACCAATCACATGAATAACAATTTCATAGGCGGATCAAAACACATGTATATTTTAGGTATAACACGTACTAAACTCGGTTTCATCGTTCTTGGCGTGTGCCTGAAACAAGCTACTACGGAATTTTAATATTCGTCTCTCTCTGATACACAGATGCGTAATTCAATTGTGCGAGTCACGTTCGTCATGGTAAAGTGCGATGAGAAGGGAATAAAAAGACCACTCACGTCTCCCAGTATTGTAGCAATAACACCGATGCGTTTGGCCGATACGGTGTCGGTGATAAGTTCGGCCTCGTTACGAATACAGATAGCTGCCACTGGAAGAGGTAAATGAATCGAGCTTAGACAAGGAAAGACAGATGAAACAACTTATTGCAAGTGTTTTTACACGCACACGCCAAGAAAGATAAAAACGTCTATAGTACACATTATTTTCTTGTTGTATAGATCGATTCGTGTAGAAAACATTTCGGATTTATCCCGCTATTAGTTTTAATAAAGTTCTTAGAATCACATAAATGTGATTTGGTCTTTGTCATTTTGTGAAATGTAACATTGATTGTTTAAGAGTGAAGTAGTGTGTATTTAAACTTGTTGGATTGTTAAGTATCATCTTCAAATAAGGATCCGATGGCAAAAGTGGTACGATATGTGATGCCAAATGCACAATTTAATAATTAATCAAAGACAGAAAGTAGAACATTCAAACTGGCTAAAACTTCTTTAGGCAGATGACAAATTCAAATTGATGAGCTAATAGAACAAAGTCGAATGCGTAAAGTACATGCTTGTTACTTGAAAAACGATTGATGCAATTATGACATATATTGAAGAAGTCGCGGATTATGTCAAATTTTCTAGAATTATACTATGAAAACTTCTTAAAGAAATGGGTTTCCAGTATGCAAAATACAATAGAAAATTTATTTTGATGAGTAAACACCAAATAATTGTTTAAAGAAGAACTATTTACGAAAGATGAAAAAGGTCAAGGTCGAAAATAGACGGATATATTACCCAGACAAAATGTAGGCCACATTGTTTTTAAATACTGTCAAGACGAAGATGACTGGCAGGAGACTGCCATCAAGGAATTCGGATACTAAGATCCGGCAGAGAAGGACAATTACAAAACGCAATGCGTTCTCGGTCGCCAACAGACGAAATCGTTGAAAATCTAGTGCAAAGAAAATACTCACCATTGAAGACACGAAAATGGAGTAGGTATAATCTTAAATCAAGAACCTGCCAGACATCTTAAAAACTTTGTACGCGTATCGGAAAGAATGCTCCTCCTTCAACTTGATACCTACCCAGTAATAATACTTGAAACACCTTCATGAAAAAATTGCATAGAGTTTCACAAGGCATCCAAAGAAACATTCCGCAAATCACCAAAAACTAAGAAAAAATCGTGGATGACAAATGAGATTCTAGATATGATGACAAAGAGATCAAAAAATTAATCAGAATGGCTAAGGACACACAGCTGATAGAGCACTGTCGGAAATACAGCTATTACAACAGAACCACGATTCGTTCAATACGCACAATAAAGTAGCTGCAGGCTTGTACAAGCCGAGAAGAGTTGGATATTTGGCAGACAACTAAGGTAATCCACTACTAACTGTAGAAGATAGAGTAGACACTTGGAAGACATATGAGGAAGTAACATTTGCAGATGAAAGGCAGATTGCCATTAAAAACATAGAATGCCAAACAGTTGATTTGATTATACAATTTTAAAGTTGTTATCTTTTTAAAGGAATAATGGACTTTAAATCTACTTACCCGTAGTCGATAAACCATTGGTAGTCAGAATTGTCTTGTATGAAGTCGATGTCTTGGGAAGAGGTATTGCTGAGGTAACTGGCTGATCCATGATGATTGCTGTTGCAGTCGGAATCCGGGCTGCCCCGGATTACCCCAACCTCGGTCATTCCTTTACCTGAAAGAAAAGAAACACATTTTATATACTCTATTCTGTTTACGGAGGTCTGTTGTTATTAAAATAGCAAATCAGGTCTTCTTCTAACAGCGTTTCATCTACTTAAATAGATAATACGTATAAAGATATGCTTATTAGTCTACTTAAATAATTACCTAATAAATATTCGGCCTGAGGTAACTGACATAAATATAAATCTTTATTAGGAGGTTTTAAGACTATATACAACTATTAGATCGGACTAAAAAGTTTCACTTCTTTCGATTCCAAGTTGGCATTATCTTTATCTCCTACAGAGATAATCTTCTAAACCTTACTATTTTTATTTTTTTGTTACCAAATATACTTTGTTTCATTTCTACTTTTACCAAAATTTCATCTACTGGCGCATAAAAATTGTAGACATTATTAACCCATTAGTGCTCAGTCATGACATGACTTATTTGGGCAGTCAAAGTTAAGATTTATTTCACAATAGTTTTCTATGTATATTTTAATGGGAATTGGTCGCAAAACTTAAGTGAACACTTGTTTTTAGTTAGTAGTAAGTCGTCTGTGTATTAATTAACTGGATAAAAATTTGGTTTTACATAGCAACGTATTGTTAAATCATTGAAAAAGATATATCTATCAAGAAGTCCTATTATTTTATCTGTGCTAGTTGGTACAGCTGCCCAATTATCAATGTTGCGTTTTCGCAACACTGGAGGTCAGGCATATTATTAGTACATAAAATCATTTTTGTTCTAGAAAGTGGAAATATGATGTCAAATCAGCTTGGCTGATAAGTTTCGGTCGTACTAGTAAAAACAGTCCCCCTAAATAAATAAAAAAAAAATTATTAATCAAGGGAACATAAAATTATGTCCATGCTGGAAGAATCGAACCTTATGGGAGTCGGTTTCAAGTGCAGATGTTTTCCTCACACCTCTTGACTCCGTTGAATTGACTGATGAAGATAGTGGAGATCAAGACTGTGGAGAAATATTCAATAACCTAAACAAAAATATGATGCGAAATCAGACTGTAATTTATCAAGAAGAAGAAAGAAGGATCGACGAAGAAAATATAAATCTATATGAAAAAAAAAACAGATCTTCAAAGTGTGACACAAGTTTAGGAAGAAGAAGATACGGGAGAGATTGGGATGGGAATAGAAATATAGACACACAATGAAGAAATTTAAGATATTCAAGAGGCAACTACTGAGATTCGTGCAGAAAGTGTAACTCTCCTACCACGGGAATGGATTCAGGGAGATTTACCAAATGAAAATTCCCTTTATTTGGATATTGAACATAAAAAAACTCAATAGAAAACATACACTTCTTCATTTTATTCACGACTACTCACTATTTTACAAGATCTTTTTTTTCAATCAAGAGCTTTTAACAAATATTGTAAAACAGACGGTTCGTTACGCTCTTTTAAAAAATTACTACTTTAGGATTTGAAGTAGACGAGTTAAAAGCCTTTATAGGGATGTTACTAGGTAGTGGGTACAGCATAAATCCAAGAAGACGCATGTACTGGAAAGAATCTGATGATTTCAAGTAACATGCATCGTAACCAATTTGAAACCATTATAAGATTTCTCAATTTTAACGATAACCTAAACATAGATCGTTCAGACAAAACATATAAAATGTCTCCGTACCTTGAAAGTCTCCGCAAATCATTTACTGAATACACTGTATGGGAAACAGATTCTAACGTGGATGAGGCCATGACACCATACTATGGGCGTCATTATATGAAATAACGTATAAAAGACAAGCCCACATGCTTTGGGTATAAATCGTGGGGTTGGAATCAGAAATCTGGTTACCTTATAGATTTCAATATTTATCAAGAAACCAAAAAAATGCAATGAATAAAAAAATGGTCTTGGAGGTGGAATAATACTGCAGTTTGTTTAACTTATTCCTAAAATTCAATTCGATAGGGTTATGCCTCATTGCTTGTATGTTGATAATTATTTCACCTCTATGAATTGAATTGAATTTTTAACATCGAAGGGAATAGGTTACATAGGAACCATACGATCAAATAGAACAGAAAAAAGTCCATTCAGTGAAACGTTTAAAAAATCCATACGTGGAATTTGCGAAAATTGGTACGACGAGAAAAATTAGGTGCTTTTATGTAGGTGGAATGACAACAGCATAGTTACTTTGGCATCGAATTGCCACAAAACGACGCCAGTTTATCAAGCAAAAACATACTCCTTTTACAAAGCAAAAAAATCAAAGTAACACAACCACATCTTATTCCGGCTTATAACGAAAATATGGGAGGAACTGATCGGATGGATAAAAATGTGCCTATTACAGAACAAATATAAGATCCAAGAAATAGTATTGGCCGTTATTTATCTGGGGTCTTGGTGTCTTCATACAAAATGCTTAGTTAATTTACCGTAGAATGAGACACATTATCCCTGAACAACCCGAAATGGATTTACTGCAGTTTCGTCGAAATATAGCCAAAGCTTTGTTGACGATATTCGAAACTCCTCCAAGAAGACCTGGTCCATCTCAAGCTTCCATAAACAACATTCCACAAGATGTTCGATTCGACAACATCGGCCATCTTATTTCTACCCAAGAAAAACGAACCCGATGCGTCTTTTGTCACTCTCTTTCTTGTCGTTTCCTCATTGCTGAGGATCGTGATTCCCTATAATGCGGGCTGTCAATTCTCTCCATCTCTTGCGATTTTGGGCTGCTCTCATGGACTCGGAAAACGTCTCTCCAGTGGCTTTCTGTACTTGATCTCAACATCGGATAGGTGAGCGTCCTCGGCCTCTACGTCCTTCTACGTTTCCGCACACAATTAGTCTTTCTAAGTTGTCATTGTCTCTTCTCGCAATGTGACCAAAAAACTTTAAAACATTTGCAAGACACTGAGAGGAGAGTCTGGTCTGAATGTTTAGCTCTTCGAGAATCGACTGATTGGATCTGTGCTCCGTCCACGAGACGCGTAGCATTCGTCTCCAGCACCACATTTCGAATGCGTCAATCCTTTTCCTATCCTCTGATTTTATTGTCCATGTTTCGGCACCGTAACTAAAGATTGAAAAAACGAGTGTCCGTACCAGTCTCATTTTGAGTTTTTTGGACAAAACTGCGAATTTCCGTATGGCAGGAGGCTGCATTGCTTAAGGAAGATCCTAGATACGTGAACTCGTCTACTTTCTCGAATTGATTTAGGGCGCCTGTTGTTTGGAGAATATTCGCGTGGTCCACAATCATGATTTTTGTTTTCTGATTATTAATCTTGAGCCCACACTTGTTGCTTTCGGTTTCTACTCTCTTTATCAGTCTCGACATCTCCTCTTCAGATGTTGCATCAGTGTTGTATCGTCTGCGAATCTTAAGTTTGAGATCTTTTTCCCTGCAATGGAGATGCCGCCTCTCCATTAATCGAGTGCGTTCCTCATTATGTATTCTCCATATAAATTGAACAGGTCTGGAGATAGTATGCAGCCTTGTCGTACACCTCTGCTGGTTTTGAAGGTTGCTGGTTTTCAATTCTTATTTTAACTGAGTTATCTTCGTATAAGTTTTTAATTAATATTGCCAAATGATCTGGAACTCCCATCTCATGAAGAACTGTCCAGAGAACTTCCCACTTTACACAATCAAATGCCTTTTCTTAGTCTAGAAAACAGATTATTATTGGAATTTTAAATTCGCGGGCCTTTTCTATGAGCTGCCGCATATTAAGGATTTGCTCTCTCGTACCCTTCCCTTTGACAAAGCCTGCTTGTTCTTGGGGAATTTGGTTGTCTAAGTACTGTTGCAAACGGCGTTTAATGATTCTTAGTAATATTTTGCTTGGATGGGAAATCAGTGAGATGGTACGATAATTACTACACTTTGTAGTTGTTCCTTTTTTTATGGATTGGTATGCACAATGATGTGCGCCATTCTCTCGGCCACTTTCCGCATCTACAAATTTTATTACAAAGTTTCCACATTATGTAACATCCTTTGTCTCCCATGTTCTGAAGGAGCTCTCCCGTGATATTATCGCAGCCAGGGGATTTATTCTTCTTGAGGTGAGTTACAGCTTCTTCAATCTCGGACAGCAGAATTTCAGGTTCAGGGTTGTATTCAGTGTTTTCAAGGGCTGAAGTGTGGCCTAGATTTACGTGTTCTTCCCTGTAGAGCTCTGAACAATAGTTTTTCCATGTTTCCAACACTCTGTCGATATTACTTATGATAATACCATGTTTGTCCTCTATTGCATAGTTCTTGGGTTTAAATTCTCTCGCAAGAATTTTCACTTTCCGGAAGAGGTCTTTGGTGTCATTTCGATATTCGTGATTTTCTATTTCTTGGCAGATTTCAGAGATGTATTCTTGTTTGTCTTTTCGGCATCTTCGTTGAATATCTCTGGAAAGAGCTTTATATGTCTGTTGATCACAGGGGCCAACTTTAAGTTGCTTTCTTTGTTCAATCACTTTCCACGTGTTTCTGCTGATCCATGGTTTAATGCTATTATTTATAGATGGTTGGCGACATTGGTTCACTGTTGTTACGATGGTTTCTTTAATATCTGTCCAGGCTTCATCCACGCTTTGTTCTGACTATTTGTTCCCTATTCTGGTTAGTGCTGGTTCAATTCTCTCTTTAAAGGTAGCTAATTCGGGGTCCGTTAGCCCAAAAGAACGGGGAGAAGCTTTGCGTATGTTCTTGAAACGCATTCTGTAATCTGCCATCAAGAGCTGGTGATCGCTTCCGCATTCTGCTCCTGGGAATGTTTTTGCGTTGGTAATTGAAGACTTACATCTCGAACTGATCAGAATAAAGTCTATTTGATTTCTTGTTCTATCTCCAGGTGATTTCCAGGTATAGAGTCTACGCGGATGATGTTTGAAATGCGTGTTCATTACAGAAAATTTCCTTTGGTTGCAGAATTCTAGTAGTCGGTCTCCTCGCTCATTCCTATCTCCTAGACCATATGGTCCTACAATCATCTTCATGTGGTCATCT